TGCGATTTCTTTGGGAAGAGCTAAAACATATCAAACACTTCTGAAGTGGTTGCACGGTTTTTCTTGAACCTGCGTTGGTATTTGACCAGAGGCTCCAAGATTTTGATAGCTTTCTCCAAATGAACCACTAGCGTTTTGCTTGTAGTGAAGTCGAACACGGCCTAACGTGAAGTCTTCTTTGCTTCAGTAGGAGCACTAAGACAAGTACGATCGGCCACCAACTGCAACAGAACCTTTTCCGACTTCAATAGTGACTGCAGACAAGCCAGAATTGAGCCCCATCTTGTCTCACACGGCATGAAAAGAGCCGGAAGGCCCTTGTTGTCTGCAGTAACAAATTGGTTTTGCAGAGTCCTCAGCTGGTACCACAGTTTGTGCTTCTTCTTAAATAAGATAACTACATTCTTGCATCCGGCTACAAGCTTTTCTAGCCACTTCAGCGATGAGACAACATTTTTCACCAGCAAGTTGACAGTGTGTGCTGCGCAGCCGTGAAAGAACATTTTTTGGCTTGATAGCTTGAAGTTTATACCATGCGTTTTGATTGGCTGAAGTATTATCCGTCACGACCGCTACAAAATTGATGAAGTCGTACTTTCTGATGACGCGTTGAATATCACTGGCCAAAAAGTCAGAATCATGACTTAGGTTTCCAGTGTATACGGATTCCAAAAACAGGTCTGATCACCAGAGATAGCCAGGTAATTGATTACTGCGTAGCCATTGATGTCGGTCCATCCATTTGTCACAAGCGAACAGAAGCGCCTAGATAGTGAAACGCGAATGCTGCTAATCGAGTCCTCGTAGCATTCGTCGAGCAGACGGCCGCGGATGAGGTACTGGCTTGGTATCTTGATCATAGGGTGTAGGAGACGAAACACCGCCGCACACGTAGCGTGTTGGGCCTTGTAGAACGCCATACCAGTTGAGAACAGCCATAAGGCAAACATTTTGTTGAATAGGCTCTGAGTTGCAGCATCAACTTGAGGAGGGAAGTACGACGTCACGACCTCTTGACGCGGTCGCTTCGCGCACGTTTCCCGCACATGACGCTTCACACGGTCAACGAGGGTGAACCCAAGCTTGTGAATACACCCTCACAGCGAAGGCAGTACACGTAGCCGTCTGCATCCACGTCAACCTCGCTCCAGGCTTCGTCGCGTTTTCTCCCGGGGCGCTTGGTAGTCTCCATAGTGGTAAATTTGGAAATGAACTACGTCATGTCTTTTATTCCCTAGAGCGTCCAGCTCCATTCACTTCATTTTATCTTAATTAAAGTATTGGCATACTAATACTGACATTCAACACCCTTTTTAAAGTGATTGTGCATCAACTTATCGTTTTGACATGCATGTAGATCTCTCTGAGCCACCCGTTCAATGCTAAACCCGATTAAACTATACTTACGCTGGACGTACTGGTCCCGTTAACGTCTACACAAGCTTCCATGTGTTCATACGTCGCAGAAACATTAACTGGACGTCAACATGATTCCAAGTAATAAGATGTCGCAGACAAAATAACTGGCCATTTAGATGGTGCATTGGGGTACGTAGCCCTAAGTGTACTCCTAGTTAAATGAAGTGTGACACGTCATACTTCGGGATATTTGGTACAAGGTACCAAGGTCGTCCAAAGCCAACCACTGGCTGATGACATTGCTTTGCTATAGGTGACTTATAGTTTGTAATTAACTCAAGCTTTATCTACCTATAAATATAGTCAGTTTACATTCTACCTTAAATTGGTCACTTCGCTACCTTCCTTTTAGAAACCCACATGCTTGATATCAAGCATGTGGGTTTTTGGGACAAGGTTCCTTATCAAGCCTTAGTATCGGGGTGGGTTAATAAACACTGCACTACCCTTTATGCGCAACCTTGGTTTCAACTCCAGGACCAAAACACACTAGGATTACTGAACGTTCTCGCTACTTCTCTATAAATGTCCTACTTCGACGTTCGTAGTATTATATGCGTAATTCTTTTAGATGGTGTACTCTCTACTAGCATGTAGAATCGTTCCTGAAAAATGTAGCGGTCACGGCCAGGGCTAGTGTAGCCACCGGTCGCTTCGCTGATGAACAGTTAGGAAACCTTTCAAGAAGCCGACGCAACGAGGAGTTATCAAACTTCTCACAAGGAGAAGGATGTATTTTACATACCAGTAGGCTTACATACCACAGTCTTCATTCTTCCAAGCCAAACGCAAGTAGAGTGCCAACAATCTTGCGCAGCAAGAAAGCGCACAGAAACGTGGGAGTGGCTCGGTTGAAGGCTCTGCTTGGCTGTATCCAAGGCCTGCTAGCACTCGGCCCCCCAATTTGGCTCAGATTTCTTCGTAAAAAGCTGCAACAGCGGGCGAATCTTGCCCACCTAATTCTCAGCGTACTTGGACAAGTACGTTGCAAGCCCAAGGCACTGCCTCGGTTCCTTTACTTTGGATGGAGTAGGCCATTCATTAATCACTCTGACCTTTTGTGGGTCAGGGCGTATGCTGTTTTTCCAGAAGAGACACATAAGGACGGGTATGTAGCTCGCCCCGAAGGTACACTCCTTCAGGCTCGCATATAGCTTCTGTTTAATAAGTGATGCTATCGCGTGACCTGTTATGATATGCTTCTTAACCCACAATTACTCTTTTGTAAATAGGCGTTTGCAAGAACTTGGGTACTACATTACATGATTAAATTTAAAAAAATCAAATAATTCCATAAAATCAGCGATTAAACCCAAAACAACCATTATACCTCCCACCCACTATGTCATCCCTCCCAAGCTGCTGTTACAGATGTGGGATTTAGGAACCCTGGATGGGAGGGGGTAGAGAGAGGCTGTAGGCGAAAAGAAGTTAGTCACAAAAAGAGACCTTTGCCCTATCCGTGTGGGACATATTGACGGCCAGGACACATTGTGGGTCAAGCCATCTCTAATACAATTCAACGATTGATACACGCACCAGCTCAGTGTATAGTGCGCTTAAGTGCGAGCTGCTCGCTCAGAGCCAACCACTCATTCTCCCCGCCATTTTGGTGGCCCACTTGCCTTTATCCGCTCAAAATTGAATCCGTGGCGAATTCTTCGCAACAAGACATCAGCACCCAAGCACTTCTACTATCATGAAGACCTCTAAAGCTCCAACTACTGCTAGCACAAAGCCTACAACCGCTCAATACGAATTCGGCATGCGTCTGGTTCGTCAGGGCATGTCTATCCGCAAGTCGGCACTTAAGACTGGCGTGCCGAGAGAGAATCTGCGCAAGCGCGTCCGCGAAGATGTCCCTGTCGAGTGTAGGACAGGACCGCAGCTAGTGTATCTCTCTGCTGGAGCCAACATCGGACTCCACGAGATCGTTGGGGCTCACACCAAACGAGGAATGTGTATCGGGCTGCCGTCTCTCAGCTACTTCATTCGCCAAGCCGCGCTAGTTTCCTCACTCCGGCCGGTTCCTGAGAGTTTTCCGAACCGAAAGTTTGTGCAGCGCTGGATGAAGAAGCACTCACCCTGGTTGTCGCTGCGAAAGGCGCGAATTTTGGGGGGAAGCGCGCGGAGGGGTCGACTGAGGACGCGGTTAAAAACTACTTTGGTAATCTAGAAGCTGCTGTCAGCGAGTTGGGGCTGGGCGAACGCCCTGCTCAAATTTGGAACTGTGATGAAGTTGGTGTGTGTGCCCCAGGCACTTGCCAAGAGCGTGTTGTAGCTCCGAAAGGATGCTTAGCCAACGTCCAGCGCTCTTCTGATCGTGAGAACGTCAGTATCATGGGCTGTATTAGTGCAGCGGGCACGATCATGCCGCCCATGTACATTTTTGCTGGAGTTCGCCGCAAGGTGGAATGGATGGAGCATGCTCCAGAAGGTGCTGTGTGCGCAATGTCCGAATCGTCGAACCTTAATGGAGACCTTTTTTGGCATTGATTTAAGTGGTTCGTTAGCAAGTTGCCTGCAGAGCGCCCGCAACTGCTGATTTTGGATGGCCAGTTTGCTCATGTTAATTATCACACCGTCCGATGGGGATGCGAGCATGACGTGCATATTCTCGTGCTTCAAGCGCACACATCGCACTTCCTGCAGCCACTGGATGTGGGCACAAACCAACCCTTCAAAAGACTTTACGAGAAGCAGTTACATCTATTTCCTGCTCACAACAGAGGGCTTCTACCTACTCGAGATGACGTCGTTGAGCTGACGCGCATGCCATTTGATTTGGCCTTCTCGAAGAAGAATGCAGTAGCTGCGTTTGCTAAGACCGGGATTTACCCACTGTCAATCGACACGATGCTGTCTGCACTTATTGGCAACACGCCACACGTTAACAAGCGTAAGCTTCCCCATCACGCAGCTGTGGTGCCTCATGTACGGACACTTCAGTTGAGTGAGCGCCAGCGCAAACGGCTTGAGCGGCAAGGTCTGGATCTCGACGCCCTAGAGCTAGTCGATTTGGTGGCGAGGGAAACGTACACACCGCAGCAAAGCAAGCGAAAACGGGGAACGTTTGTGGATGAGCGCCACTCAGGCGGAGTGCTTCTAAAGCACGGACAAATGCTTGAAGTTCTCAAAAAGAAGGACAACGAGCGCGTGGCTAAAGAACTAGAAAAACAGTGCAAGAAAGCCGAGCGACTTGAAAGGGATATGAGGACAAACCTCGCTTTCGAACGCAAAAGACTCGGAAATCTCGGAGAGCACAGCAGCAGCAGTCAGTCGTCGTATAAATGACTTGAATAATGTATGTACTTTGGCCCACAACGTGTCCGAAAGCTAGCTCGTCCTCTTGCTTTATCTTGGTATGTGTATACTTCGCTAAGTGATCCATTATATCTCCCACACGGATATGTGATATTAATATCACTTGAGGGGTCGGCGTGATAAAATACCGGTAGCAGCCACGGCAAGCGAACTATTTACAGCCAGCATTCACACAATTCATGTTTTTAACATGAAAATGGTGTGGCAAACATGCACAATGTGGCGGCGAGGTACAGAATTGAAAAAAGCCGAGGAAGATGACGACAGCCGAGGCGACCGGCAAGGAGGACAAGGTACCGTCTACCGAGGTACCTACAGCCGCAGCCCCCAGTGATGGAGACACAGAGGCAGCAGATGCCAATGTGAACGTGCCACAGATCGCTCCTCTGGCAAAGTACAAGCTGGTTTTCCTTGGAGATCAAGGAGTGGGCAAGACATCCATGATCACACGCTTCATGTACGACACGTTTGACAACGCATACCAGGCCACGATTGGCATCGACTTTTTGTCCAAAACCATGTACATGGAGGACCGCACTGTGCGACTACAGCTCTGGGACACAGCCGGCCAGGAGTAAGTAAGACGTCGGATACTCTGAAGGATCCTCCTGTTGCTGACCCTATTATTATTGTCCCATTCCAGGCGATTCCGTAGCCTCATCCCTAGCTACATCCGTGACTCGTCAGTAGCCGTCGTAGTCTACGATATCACAAGTGAGACGTCTAGACTTGAGAATATTGCCAAGAGCTATTAGAAACTAATGATTATTGCCATATAGATCGCGCGTCGTTCCTGAACACGAGCAAGTGGATCGAAGATGTGCGTACGGAGCGCGGACAGGACGTAGTGATTATGCTGGTGGGCAACAAGACGGACATATCAGATCGACGTCAAGTGTCCATCGAGGAGGGCTCCGATAAGGCCAAGGAGGAGAACGTCATGTTCATCGAGACAAGTGCCAAGGCCGGCTACAATATCAAGGCGCTCTTTCGCAAATTAGCCACTGTGCTGCCCGGCATGGAGAACACGATGATTAGCGGAGACTCTAATCGTACGTGGGGACAGTATTTGAACTCTGATCTCAACTTACGAAGTGCTCACTCTTCTGTTGTTACTGTTCTGCAGTGATTGATATAAAGCTGACGGCTGCACCGGCCCCGAAGGAAAACACGGCAGAGCAGTGCAATTGCTGAAAAGAGCGAGGCGGAAGATTTAGTAGATGGCAGGGCACACGGAATACACGCAGGCCATATGCACACGTACAAGCGAAAACGCGCGGAGAACCATCACGCAGGAGCACGCGCTGACTCGGGAAATACTTCGCAATCTTCGCTGTCTCCCCGCCACGTTCGTGTTTTGTCAAGCAGAGAGGGAGTATGCACGTAGGCTTGTTTCCTTATCTTAATATGTGGTGACAAGATATGACGTGTTTAGTACTGCTGGTTTACAGCAGCAGAAACAAGCGGCTAGAAGAGAATTATGTGTGACATCCTACTTGCGGCGACTGCCGCCACTGCTTTGCTGTTCCTTTTCCCGCTCGAGCTCTTTCTTTTTGGAGATGGTCTCCCAGTCGATAGCCACTTGTTTTGAGTACTGCAGGAACTTCTTGTCGGTCTCTTGGAGTTTGTTCGCCGCTAGGAATCGTTCACGGTAAGCTAACACGGTGTCCACGTGTGTCGTAGCGTCTGTTGTGTGTTTGATAGCTAGGTCCAGCGCTCGGTCCCAACGGAATAGTCTCAGGTTCAGCTTGATAGCTCGGTACACCAGAGGAGTCGGATGTGCCTGCAGCAAGATGGCTTCGGCTTCGTCCACGTTGCCAGAGTATAGAGCCAATTCAGCGTTGCGACGCTCATCTGAGGCCAAGTTTTTCACATACAGCACGAAGTAGAGTTTATCCACGCAGTCGATGGACGCTAGAGCGATCTCCGCTGTCTCCAAGTGACGTCGGTGGAGTGCCATACCAGCTAGACAGGTCCAGAGGCTTTTGCTCTTCACAAAGCGACAGAGTCTCACAGCTTTGTCCCAGTCCGCGGACGTCGTGAACTCGAACAACATTGGCGCATAAGGTGATACACTAGCAGCCAGAGTAGTCCCGTCAGCGCGTCTTACAGTCACACTCGAGCCAACGAAGCTCGTAATAGCCGCCATCTTGAGGAAATCCGCGGCGTCTCGAGACTCGACGACGTCCGGCAGCAACGTTCGATCCACGTAGACCATGTTGGGGTACATCCAAGTGAGCAATTTGGCGTCTGCAATGGCAATCAGCAACTCCGACGCGTCATTCCACGCAGCAGAGTCCACTTGTGCGTGCAGTTTGAAGTTGCCCTTACTGGCCACGCGTGACAGATACATATCACGGTTGCGGTCGATGAACAAGAGCTTACGATCTTCCATGGGTCCGAAGCGACTGAGCGATAGTTCGAGGATCTCCAGTGAGTGCGTGATCGCCACAGGAAGCTGCTTACCAGTGTTCAAGTCGAAGCACCGGATTGTTTTACGATCTGAATGGTCCAGAATGGCAAGAGTGTCGCTGCTGAGCGAAATAGTGCGGCTGCTAAGGAACTCGACGTGGAGACCGGAGAATTTGGGGTTGCTGACGGCCTTGCCTTCGTACGAGTACACTTGAATGCCGTTGAAGTTGTCTACTGTCAGGAAGTGACTCTCGCTCTGAACTAGCAGATTCACAGCTGCACGCAGATCAAAGATGTGGGGCGTGTTCCAGCTCTGCGCGTCGTAGATGAAGCATTGGGTTGCCGTACAGACCACGAGGAATCCGTGTGCGAAGGACATCTCCACGACTCGATCACGGGCAAAGTCCAGTTCCTCGAGCGTCTCGTTCACCACGTCGTGGACGTGGATCTTACGAGGGTCCACAAGCGTCACTTCGACCTTCTTCCAGGGCAGCATACGCCCCACAACCTGTGCGAACACAGTGGCACCATTACCACCTGCAGCTACGAGTTGCGTGGAGTCGGAGGCCCAAGCCAAGTCCATTAACGAGCCGCTTTGAGGACGTTGACGACAGTAAGACCATCCCGTCTGGTCGCACAGCCTCAACATGTTGTACGAACCCACAGCGAAGCAGCTTCCGTTCGGACACCACGCGACGGAGGTGACGACATGCTCGCCTGCTGGACTCTGGTACAGTTGACGACCAAAGGCGTCCCAAACGCGGAAGATCCGGTCTTCCCCGCCCGAGATGAGGCGGTTGTTGATCGGATTCCAGTCCAGACACAAGATGGAGCCGTCGTGAGCTTTCCACTGAATGTCTTTGCGTCCAAGTTGCACAGTCTTGATCACTAGGTTGTTGCCGTGTGTGAATAGGAGCTGGTCGCTATCAGGCCCCCAGCACACGCCATAGACTGACCGGCCAGTAGTCGCTAGTGTCGACCGGAGATTTCCACTGCGCGACCAGATCTTGAGCGTACCGTCCTCTCCGGCAGTGACGAGAGCTGTGCCGTCATAGTTCCACTTGAGAGCGATCACAGCTCCAGCGTCACAAGCTTGGACTCGCTTCTCCTCACGTCCACTCTTCGATATCAAGCGGAACGTGCCATCAGTGCACGAAACAGCGAAAGTGTCGGCACTCTGCTTGCCCACCGACGGCACCCAGTGCACCGACGTGACGTAGGCGTCCATTTTGGTCACTGCACCCACCACTTCTCCATCCATTCGCCAACGCACGATGGAGTTGTCGTCGCTACATGTGATGGCGTCGTTCTCAGGCGTCCAGCAACATGCCGTCACGATCTCCGTGTGATGGTTCACAGGCAATTGCGAGTGCTGGAGACGCATGGTTCGCTCACTGAGGTTTATCAAGACGACGAATAATAACCTGAAAAGATCCGACGCTCCGTCTCGACCTTTCAACGCTCCAAGAAACGCTTTGGTATTCATGGCTTCTTAACGAAACGGAGCTGTCGTAAATGTGAACCAACTCACAACCGAAAGTGAACTGTTCAAAGGACAACACGTCAAATGCGTGCAGCAGTGTATGCTTTACAAGGCTTCCTGGCAGCTACCACGACGATGGCGACATCGTATAACCCGCAGTATATTGTTCTTGGCACGGACGGCACGGTAGTCGAGGCCGACCCTAGTCTGTACTTCCAGTCGGGTAGCAACCAGCCCTATCAACACCGAGATCAAGACCAGTTCGAGAAGAAGCCAGAACTTGTCGATCTCGCAAAACCATCGCAACCTGAAGAGCTTTCGGGGGTCACACTACAAAAGCGGTTAGCTGAAACTGACCTGGATATCTTCAATAAGGAGGCCGATGACGACGAGTTCTCAGCCACCACGGCGTCCCAGGAGACAGCAGCTTCCGTGTCGAGGAGCACACTCGCATTGATCAATGATGGTGTTCCAGGAGTGTATGGCTCCGTCGTATTCGCCGAGCTGGTACGATACTGTGTGTTATCTCTCGGCGTGACTTGTAGTGACTTGGTACTTGTGTGACGACAGAGTTGCTGCTTTGTGGCATTCATTGGGTATTTGGTGCGCTCCATTCCTTTGTGGGTCAGTTTTTCGAGGGGTCAGAAATGCTGCCTCGTCGTGGCGTTCAGCGTAGCACTTCTCTATCAGTTTGCAGCCGTAGGCTGGTTCCTCGGAGCTGTGACGCCCGAGCTCATGTTAGGACTTTCAAGCCTCATCACGAGAACCATCTCTCTGGGAATGGTGCCAATCACCACGACATCATTTATGGGTCGCGCAAGGATCTGCCAAGACCACTCCACTACGACTCCAGCACGGTCAAGAAAATCTTCACACTCGCGGAACTCACACCGCCACCACACACGCGCCAGATCCAGTTAACGGGAGCTGGGGACTTAAAAGCATACACTTTACATCGCAATGTAATACATATTGAAAGCCCAAAGAAATAATCTCACTAACATCTTTGTTAGTAAGTCATAAGTAAGTAGGCACGTACACTTTCGTCTTAGTGTCCTGGCCTGACGTGGGGCTCTTGGGGTCCTCCATCCGTGATAAAATGCAAAGCTTCTTTCCAGGTGATGGACGCGATGGCGATGCTAGGGCAACACTTGCTGCCTTTGAATCTTCTGCTTCGAGTTCTGGTTCGGATCCGCTGACAACTGCAGCCTCTTCTTCGTGCTGATAAACTCCTTCCTCTCCGTCTTGCTCACCAACAATTGCTTCGTGGCGAAAGGTTGTAGCACCACCAAGGAAGGCGTCCATGTCTTCTTCGCCGCTGCTACTGGTACTGACAGCGACAGGCTTTTCTTCGGTCTGCGTTGTCGCTGGCGGTTCATCCGGTTGCAGAATATCTGAAACCAGTTCGTCCGCTACTTCGATCATTTCTCCTTCATCATCGTCCACGACATTCGGTCGCTTCTTTGGAGTTGTCTTCTTTGCCGATTTCTTCATCGACGCAGCGTCGTATTGAACTCGATTCTGCTGGATTATCAAACCATCCCGACTACGCTGATACGCATCTTGAATGCCCTTGAGCACACCACCAGGCTTCCAACAAATCAAGTTCGCTATACCGAAGAGCTCTCCTCGTTGTTGTGGGTTTCCCTGGACACCTTCGAAGTACCGTGGCGCATTGGAACCCTTCAATGTTGTGTCACTGAGTTGCTGCTTGTAGATCTGTCGAACGTAGATCATCTCTTCGATTGTGCCCAAAGTAATTAGTCTGTAAACTTGCACGTCTTTCGTCTGGCCGATACGATATGCTCGGTCTTGAGCCTGACAGTCGTGCGCTGGGTTCCAGCTGGGGTCGAAAATCACGACATTCGTCGCACTCTGCAGGTTCAGTCCCACTCCACCAGCTCGCGTACTGATTAAAAACACCGTCGTGTTGCTTTCCGAGCTATTAAAGTCGTTGACCATCTGCAAACGCTCCTCCACCTTGGTGTTCCCATCCAGTCTACTGTACTTCGTCGCCTTAGTGATCAAAAAGAGCTGGATGATATCCAGCATGCGAGTGCTTCGACTGAAGATTAACGTCCTTTGTCGACGCTTCTTCCAGACAGACAGCAGCTTCTCCAGCACGATCATCTTCCCGCACGTCTTCGTGGAAATAGCACACATTTCCTGAAAACTGGACACCTGGTCCACACCTCCGACCTCGTCCAGATCGCTACCGAACGCCGTACTGGCAAACTCACTTTGATAATGCTGGAGCTCTTGTCCATCGTGTGGGTTCACTTTAAGTAACTCCAAGTGATTCGATAGCTTCAATAACATCGCCACACACGGAAGACCCATACAATTTGGGCAGTTCTTGCATGGCCCGTCTTCGTGAAAGCGCTCGTACAGCAGCCCAGGTGCATCGCCAATATCCGATGGTGTCTTGTAGCAGCATTTCTTCCGCTTCTCGCCACTATCTCGACCGCAGTCGCATCTTTCCTCTCCGCGTTGAAGCAACTGAAACTCTGGCATGGCCAAAACGCGCTGATACGCTGCCATCTGAAGTGGCGTGAGGTCACAGAAGACCACTTGATCGTTCTTTTTAACCTCCTGGAACGTCGGGTTGATCTCCTTCTCTCGTCGAAGATAGTACGGGTGTAACTTCTGACGAAGCTCCTTTTCTTTCTGCTGACTTCGCTTCACCGCCTCTGGAGCAGCAGACTTCTTCCTCCCATACTTGATATCTTGACCGTAATACATGCTAAACTCCGCCCACGATCCAATTGCCCCTGGAGCAATAGTGTCCACCAAGCAATGCAGCTCCTTCTCATTATTCTGCATCAACGTGCCTGTCAGCCCGAGCTTTTTACGACACGTAATCGCCTTGACAGCTTTGGTAAGCTTGGCCTCAGGGTTCTTCAAGCAGTGCATCTCGTCCAAAATCACCGCTTCCCACGGTATTTTGTGCAGTCGACTCAAGTACATTTTCAAAATGTCATAGCTGCAAATGACGATCTCGTACTCGCCTCTATTTTCCACGCAAGAATACACTGTAAGTCATTACCTGGGTCATCAACTTAATCAGGTCGAGCGTACCTTGCAATTTGATCGATCATAGCGTCACGGTCACTCGGTTTGCCCCGCAAAATGATCGTGGTGCAGCTCATCCATGTGTGCAGCTCCTGCTCCCAGTTTTGGAGTAAGGATGCTGGCATCACAATAAAAATCGGCGCCACTTCACCAGCGAAGCTAAAACCCGAGTCTTCAGGATGGCCGACAGCGCCACTTTCACTATACCGTTCTCGACGCGTATGCAGTAACGCCCTCCAAGCATCTTTATCGCGGCGGTCGCCGTGCTTTCCCATTATTGCTGACAGGAACGCAATGACTTGAATGGTCTTGCCTAGACCCATGTCATCACCCAGAATCGCACCGGTGTCGCGTTGGTAGGCACTCAGGAGAAATTCCACGCCCTCCCTCTGGTAATCGAACAAGTAGCTGTTCAGGTTGGCGCATACTTCCAACGTCTTTGACCCTGCAAGATCTGACGACAAAACCATGGGGCCAGCATTGACCTAACCAAAACATGAGCTTATTATCCAGTGGAAAGTATTAGAAAAAGTAGTTGAACTCACCTTCGGGGGATCAAGCTGCGGCCAACGTTCACTCGTGTAGGTTTCTTGCTCGTCTTCACTAGAGTCGCTTAATTCCTTCTGCACTCGCTTCCGCGGCTGTCTTTTTAATGGTGTCCGTTTCTTTGGACCAGTCCGTCTAACGTTAGCAGCTCGATCTTTCTTAGCGAGCAGTTTGTTCGCAGCTTCCTCGTCCCCAGACGCCACTTCCTTCTCGTCCGACATCCAATCTTCTGCGTCGTCCAGCTCTGCAATAGCCGAGCCGATGATGTGTCGTGGTCGAGGTCCAACATCCTGCGCTTCATTCTTTGAGTCATCGTAGAAAGCGTCACGCGATTTTTTCAGCTCTTCTTCACTCATTTCAATCGATGGTTCTTGTCGTCGTTGCCGCCTCCTCTTCATGTTCATAAACCCATCGGGATTGCTAAACGGCGAGACGTAGGTAGATTTCGGCGCCGAGTCCTGTTCGGTGCCCACCTCAGCCATCTGAGCGTCCCAGAACGATCTCTTCTTGTCACCTGGACTCGCCTCTTTCCGCTCTGCATTATCTTCACCAATAGTGCGTCTAGAAGCTCGAGATCCTGTTAAATCTGAAGAAGTATGATTCTGTGCGTGCTTGGGCGATGCCTTTGCAGCTGCCACTAGTCCGTACTTCCGAGCAATGCGTTCGCCAGCTGTGAGTTCCTTCTCCTCCTTCTTCTCCGATACTGCGGATTTCTTGGGCGTGACGAGGGAGTAGGCGGCTACAGCTGCGTCGGTGGCCTTTTCCTTAGCGTCTTTAGTAGACGATGATAGCTTTGCAGGCGGCAGGAAGCTCATAAGCAGCTGACGGGCCGAGATCACGGGCTTGTGGCTCATTGACGGCGCTGGAGGCTTACTGCCCACTTGAACACGCGATGTGGGGCTCAGCAACTCCTCGTCGAAGCTGTCTTGACTATTAGAGGCCGATGAGGCCTTTCGGCGCGCTGAAGACGCGGACAGCGACGTCGGCGAGTCGCCTTCATCCTCGCTACTCGACATTAACTCCATCGTTGCTGAAGTAGAACCTGTTTATCCTGATGAAAATGGGTCAATTGGATTTACGGGTTACGACCTCTTCCTTTAAAAATAATGCTCTTATTGTGCTTTGCAGATGGAATGTCCATCCGTTTTATAGCCTAGATCGAGCATGGTCGGAGCATAAAACCACGCATAAAAATGAGATGGGAAGAGGCAAGCATCGATTTGTTTTATCTGTGATCGAATTACCATTTCAAAACGGCAAAAAGGGTCGATTTACAGGCAGCCAGTCTAGCTACATCGATTTGTGCTTTTATAGACCTCGATTTAAAAAAACGACCTCTATTTATTATTAATCGAGCATCAGGCTAAGTGAAAAGGACAAAAGCATTGAATGTACCCCCCACTTTTAAGTAAAAAGAGGTTGGAGCTGTTTGCTGTCTATCCTGCTGCATAGATGTACCGAGAAAAAAGATCACTGGGTTTGTTATTACGTTAGGTCTATAAATCTACAGTACAGCACTGCTTGTCGTCTGCCAATACCTTTAGACACCAGGCAGCCTTGGTGTTGGCACTTCCTCCACAAAGGTCGTTGACAGGGCTTTTACTGGAAGATCGGGTCCGGCGACTGCGTTGGCAGCAGGCCAAAACGCTTCTTGGTGGTGATGCGCTCCTTGGAGAACTTGTCGTCGGGTGAGAAACGTGCCGGGTGCGCAGAGGACGTCGGGGCGCCGGCCGGTGTCTGCTTCTGCTCAAAGCAATGCAAAAGTAATTGTTAGCGGACCCATGCACAGTTAAGAGACATTACATCTGCTACACACGCACCTTGAGCGTGTAGACGCGCTTGCCGTCCTCGCCGAGGTAGTACATGAGGTGCATGGTGTCAGAGTAGCTTGGTCAGTTGGATGAAGTGGGCGAGTTTGTGTTTGACGCCCAGTCATTTTTGGTACGAAAGATAAGAAAATTGCGTGCACACAAATTGATTTAATTTGGTCCAGGTTCGGTGGTGATAGACTCTGCATCTCTTTCACAAGGTTTAAATAAGCCTGAAGGTGAGCCCATTTGACCAAAATCAGATACCACGGACTTTACACTACCTACCACCAGCGGATTAGCCAAAAATTTCTGAAAAACCTCATCAAATACTATAAAACCTCGCAGAAAACAACTTCATACTGAAGCCGAGTGATCGCCGACTGGTGGAGGGCGTGGGTTTCGGCTCCCATTCGCTGCTCTTCGCCCGATAGTTGGTAAAGTTCGCAAATTAGAGAAGATGGTACGTGTATATGTGTGTCTGAAGTGCTGAGTCCGCCGTCCTGCTTCCCTGAATGCGCACACCATAGCGTCATTCTCCTCCCTGCCTTTTTCCGCTCTCGAAAGCTGCGCCTGCTCGTGACAATCGACCAGAACCCGTGCTCCACCTTTAAAATGAACCCAAGAGTTGCGATCTAGTACTGTAGCAAGCGCTGCGGCTACAGGATGGACTTAATACCGCTCATACAGGTGGAACAGGGCCGGAATAGGCAGATTGGAGAATACTGAAGGGCTCAGGAGGGCGAAGCGGAACAGGCGGACTCAATTGCAAGGCTGAAACAGGCAACTGACAGGATATGATTAATTCTTCCAGGCCCAGAACGTCCCGGAATTTAAGCTCATCCTCGTGGGTGACGGTGGTGTTGGCAAGACCACCTTCGTGAAGCGTCACTTGACTGGCGAGTTCGAGAAGAAGTACGTCGCCACGCTGGGCGTGGAGGTGCACCCGCTGACGTTCCACACCAACTTCGGCCCCATTCGTTTCAACTGCTGGGACACGGCCGGCCAGGAGAAGTTCGGTGGTCTGCGCGATGGCTATTACATCCAGGGCCAGTGTGCTATCATCATGTTTGACGTGACGTCGCGTATTACGTACAAGAACGTCCCGAACTGGCACAGAGACCTGTTCCGCGTGTGCGAGAACATTCCCATCGTGCTGTGCGGTAACAAGGTTGAGGTCAAGGACCGTAAGGTGAAGGCGAAGCAGATCACGTTCCACCGTAAGAAAAACCTGCAGTACTTTGACATTTCGGCCAAGTCCAACTACCAGTTCGAGAAGCCGTTCCTGTGGCTGGCCCGCAAGCTTGTTGGGTACGTTTTACCGCAATTATTTTTTGTTACTTGATGCAAAATTTACTAACAATTTAATTTTACTATTGCAGTGACAACAACCTGACCTTCGTGGAGGCTCCCGCTCTTCGCCCGCCTGAGGTCACCATCACCCAGGAACAGATTGCCCAGATTGAGGCTGACGCTAGTTCTGCCGCCGCTGCGGTGCCCCTTCCCGATGAGGACGAGGATCTGTAAGCTGGATGCCCTATCACGCCTCGACCTGCACTTTTCGCTTAGAATTTAAGAAGGAGAACGATGGAGGGAGACTCGGACGGAACATGTGCGCGATGTGGTCGCGTGTTCTGACCGCATCGACCGACTGGTTTGCTGCCGCTGATGTGATGGAACGTTTGGTTCCTAAAGACGATGACCAGGAGACGATGAAGGCCAGTGAGGAAAATAGTCGCGGTTGAATGCATGTTGCTCTATTTTTGATTGCTTTCTGATTAGCTTAGCTTATTCCCATTCCATTAGTTGGATAAACCCGCAAGATTACATCCCCTTGCTTATAGCAATGCTGTGCCATCGTAGAGCGCTTCGTTCCTTGTGATTGACAAGAGTCAAAGTGGAGGTGCTTCGCACGCAGAGCCGGATGCTAGAGCTTAGCAGATGGCAAAAGGTTTCCTGGCACTTTGTGGAGTCAAACGAAGTTTGTTGGTGGTGTGATCGCTCTCAGCAGGGTATACATTATGGAGAAAACATGCGTGATAAATCTACAATTTTAATGGCTGGCCATCAATATAGCATTATGAAGGCTTCTTGTCGCGTAGATCGTAATGATGGACTATTGCCGAGCCCCTCGGAAGCTCGCCACGAAACAGACAACCCAACTGCGCTCACTTTACCCCAAAAGCAACGACTGCATGATGGTTGGTGATAGATCACTACACTTGCAGCCATTGCAGAGTGACTGCAACGGTGACGACTCGAGCGCCTACGTGAGCTGTCCAACCCCTGACGACGCCGAACGCCAGCCGATTGATGCATTGTCGACAGAAGAAGGTGGTGCTACAGGGCTCAAAGTCGTGCGATTCGTTGATGAGAGCGAAAGAGCCGTTGCCGTTAATGTCGATAGCATCAGGAACAGTAGCGACGGAGTGAGCGGCATTCTCCACGCGGCAGACATCCAGTGGACACTGGGGACCCGGGCATTCCGCACGTGCCTCGTTCTTGCCATGCCTTGGGCCGCCTACGCAATCCTGAGTACGCTGTTTAATGCATTTATTCTGGTCGAATCTTGTGCTCATGCTTTTTGATATTCTTCTTGCAGACACTGTCTTCACAAACACTCGAATCTCCTACATGGAATCAATGGGAATCTTCGACTTTGTGCCACGCTTTGTCCCCAGTCTGATCCAAGTCTTCCTTGGACCGATCCTCGGCGCTATGTCGGATCGCTCGCTCTCCCATTGGGGACGACGCAATGTGTTCTTAATGGCAGCCGCGGTCATCGCGACGGTGACAGGCTTGCTCTACAGCTCAGCAAATGTGCTTTTTCCTGATCTCCAAGGGTTGACGAAGCTGCTTCTTGTGCTACTCAGTATCGGCGTGCTGCTGCTAAATGTGCGTTGCTTTTAGATAGGTATATCCTGCTTTTGACAGACTACCGCTTATCCTGTTTCACGTCATCATTGTCTACAGATCGGTCTTCGTGCTCGTATCATGGACATGGTGCCGATCGAGTTTCAGGTTCATGCGCAAGCAACATTAGCCATGTATGAAGCTGTAGGTGGCGTGCTGGGATCCCTACTCTTTCGTAGCACATCCGACGCTGTGGTCTTCGCGAGCGCTATCAGTGGCGAGGAGATCCTGAAAGCTTTTGGATTCGCTATGGCAGCCATCTTCGTTACAACTGCTGTTTGTATTTATCTGCGACCAGAACACCCTCAAGACAAGCCCATGTTCCAACCGCGGCTCAGTCGCGTGGGCCGTGAAGCATGGGACCAAGTGGTACATGCGCCCAAGATCTTTCGCTTCTTATGCATTGTGTATTTTGTGCTGTCCTTCGCATGGCTGAGCTTCTCGGACGAAGTTTATCAGTGGTGGGGTGCTAATGTCTATGGGGGCTGCAAGGCAGCAGGTACTGTGCGAAGTGGTTTTATGTGGCTGTACGTGGTGACTCATTGTATTAATACTATTATCACGTGAAGACTGCGATGGCAGTAGTCGCGATAAGTACCGGAGGGGTCTTAACACAGCCAACACAGCACTTATGGCGCAGGTATGGTATTGATTTGTCCAATATTTTTGAAGTAACTTCGCTAACTGCGACAACTTTTTGACCCGAGTAGAATGGCCTCGAGGCTGTGATTTGCTTCGTCGTATTGCTTGTCATGCCGCGATGCAGAGACGCTAGGTATCTCAAGCGGTTTACTGTACTTGGACTTGTGATCGGAAGTACGTTACCAGTGCTTAGTGATGTTGGGGTTATGTTGGTATTTTCCTCATCTTTTGTGGTTAGCCTGCGCGCTGGTGGTTGCGGTGTCAGTAGGCAAGTTTTGCAAGGAGGCGGCCTTCACAGGCTTCGTGATCACAGCTTTCTACCAAACTGTGGCGAATGTTTTCCCGTTTTCAATCGTCGGCATCATGGGCAAGGAACTTCAGACTTCGGTTCATGGATTCAACAACAACGGCCTTTACGTGGGCGTTCTCATGCTTTTTGAAGCAGCATCAGATCTGACGGTTCAAGTCTACGGCACCGAGAGCTTGGCACCTCTAGGAACGGGAAACGTGCTCACCCTCCCATGCATCCTTTTTGCGGTTGGAATTGCATGCACTGCCAGCTTCGTGGCAACGCTTGGTCGCCGTTGAGCTGTCATCAGAACGAGTTATCATAACAGTATTTTATCAATCAACGTTATAATTAATCATGGCCGCTTAATTTAGCGGATCACCACAGTGTCCTCACTGTTCTGATCTAACAATGGCTGTCATCGTGGAGATTAAACGAAAAAATGGCTACAGAGCGACCGCACCCGGTGCAGCTGCACGAACTACTGGTGGCGCATGATGACCGGCACAGCTACATGCAACGAGTGCACTCGCTGACCGGTCCAGGAGCGTACAAGATCCCGTCGGCTTTCCAACACCGAGCTCCAAACCTGCTACTGCGCGTCGTTCAGCGCGAGCAGTACGGTCGAGAGTTCGCCAGGTTTACAAACCGCGTTAAGATGCACTCGTATGTATCAACGCTCACCTGAGGTGTTTTCCTTGAAATGTGTCCTCACAGACAGAAGCGAACTACGACGGTAGAGTCGCCACCAGAGTACGTTATCCACACACCCGAGGCAGGCATTTAGCTCTGCATAAATGCCGCATTGAAGCCCTCTATCTACATTGCCCGTGCGGGGTGGCTGACTCGTGATTGGTTCCGCTTAATGCAGTGCGCCGTGCCAGCTCAGCCTCGTCACGAAGGCCGACATGCACCGAGCTCGCCGCGACCAGCTTCGCAAGATGTTGCAAGTAGTAAGTTTCCGCAGCTGCCTTCGCATTTGCACTGAACCGCCGCTTACATTGCCATGCCGCTGCTGCGGGTTTTGCTGTCTTGGCTTGCTGTCAGCAGGCGGATCACTGGTGCGATAACGATAACGAAGCTTCGCCATCGCCGTCGGAACGCGGCCATCGTGCCGTAACAGACAGAAGAGTGTCAAGCCCAAGAGCAACATCGCCGCGACGATCTCCATCGCCAAGCTCACGCGCCAGCTCCCCGGGTAGGTTGCGCTGGGGGTCGACAGACCTCGCAGACATCGCCGCCGATTTCGGCGAGCCCGTGGAAGGGCTGTCCAGTGAAGACGTACCTCGCATGCAGCGGCAGGTAAGGTTGGTTGTTGTAGCTTGGGCCGTAAAGGAGTTTTTTCGGGTCTTCTTTATTTCTGACGTCGTGCGGATGCGTCTTGTGGTTCTATTTGACGTAGTAGCAGGTTTACGCGATAAGCGCGCCTCTGACGTACCAGCACTACCTCGTGAGCACGAGCTACTTGGAGCGGCTCAAGAAGCATCAACAGCAGCGACGACGGCAGCACGCGGCCTCCCAATAGCAGAGGAATTTTTCCTCCGAAGACATTGCCGTGTTCATTTCGACGCAATCGGATGGATTGGATGGTGTGAGCCCGGCAATACAGAGGATAAACAACTGGCAAGTTGAAGTTGGCGAGACTGACGTAGTGGTGGTTTAGCGTCAATCCTTTCATTTCGACCGTGTCAGTGACACTGTCACATGCTGTGAGGCCTGCACCTTGATCAAAGTGATCGAGCCCCTGAACTTAAATGCCATAACTTCCGGCCCTTGGTGATTTGTGACGTCTTCTTCAGAACCTCTGAAATGGAATAAGTTGACCAAAACAGCACCTCATGTCCCCTGGACACACTCGTGACGTTAACTCTAGAACCTATGCTCTAGAATAATTAACCAAAATGCACTGATGTGCCGACAGCATGTATGTCATCGGTCCCCATTCCAATACAAAACTCCAGTCAATATCCGCTGACGCGGCGCCCCAAGCAGTGGCCCATCCTCCAGACTCACCCCAGATTTCCCCGTGCGTGGACCGGGCTGATACGCTCGTGGCCCGCCACCGCAGCGAGCATTTGAGATTTTGCGGCGTCCGTCCCAGTCCCCGACCTCAAGACACCCACACATCGCACCATGTCGGCCAAGGCGATCCGCGAGTTCGACGGCAAGCGTATCCTGTCCACGAGCCTGCCGGCTTTCAACCTCAACAAGCGCTTTGCGCAGGTGGCTGTGAGCAAGAGCTTCGCCGGCCAGGGCCGCGAGGATTTCTTCGGTGCCATTGAGACCACCAGCCCGTGGCTCACGACGCTGGGCGAGACCAAGCTCGTGGTCAAGCCCGACCAGCTCATTAAGCGCCGTGGCAAGGCCAACCTTCTGCTCCTCAACGCCACTTGGGCCGAGGTGCAGGACTGGGTCTGGGAGCGGATTAACAAACCCGTCCAGGTGGAGACCGTCACGGGCGTGCTGACGCACTTCATCGTCGAGCCTTTCCTTAAGCATGGTGCCGCCGATGAGCACTATGTGTGCATCGTCTCAAACCGCGACGGCGAGGAAATCCTCTTCCACCACGAGGGCGGCGTGGACGTCGGCGACGTCGACTCCAAGGCCAAGCGCCTGCAGGTCGGCATTGAGTCCGTCGCCTCCGAGGAGGAGGTGACTGCTGCGCTGCTCTCCTCTGTGGAGGAAAGCGCGTAAGCCTATCCTGGCCAAGTTCCTCGTGGGCATGCTGGCCAAGTTCCGCGAGCTGCACTTCGTTTACATGGAGATCAACCCCATTGTGCTCGTGGGCGACCAGATCTCCGTGCTTGACATGGCTGCCAAGCTCGACGAGACTGCCAACTTCCTAGTCGGCGACCGCTGGGGCGCAATCGAGTTCCCTCCGGCCTTCGGCCGTGCCAAGTTTCCCGAGGAGGAGTTCATCCAGGACCTTGACTCTAAGACGGGCGCTTCGCTCAAGCTCACGATCCTCAATCACACTGGCCGCATCTGGACTATGGTCGCTGGTGGCGGTGCCTCGGTCGTGTACGCCGACACCATCGCCGATTTGGGCTACGGCCACGAACTGGCCAACTACGGCGAGTACTCGGGTGCTCCTAGTGAGACCCACACTTACCACTACGCTAAGACCATCCTGGACCTTATGACGCGCAACTTTGACGAGCGTGGCAAGGTTCTGATCATCGGTGGTGGCATTGCCAACTTCACGGATGTTGCACTGACCTTCAAGGGCATCATTCGTGCTATTAAGGAGTACCAGCAGAAGCTGAAGGACAACAAGGTGCACATCTGGGTGCGTCGTGGTGGACCTAACTGCCAGGAGGGTCTGACTATCATGCGTGAGGTCGGTGAGGCCACTGGTGTGCCTATTGAGGTGTTCGGCCCCGAGACGCACATCACGGCTGTCGTCCCCATGGCTCTTGGCCTTGTGGAGAAGCCCACGTCGGTGGTCGCTCAGCCCACTACCAAGGCTATTGGTGGCTCAAAATCTAGCTCGACTAAGGCTACTTCGGAGGAAGGCAGCGCCGCCAACAGCGACAATGAGGAGACCGAGACAGCGGATGATCTGGAGACCAAGGGCGTCGCCAAGAAGCAGGCACCCGTGGTGATCCAGGACGAGGGCATTGTGCGCATGAACGACAACACGCGTTGCATCGTTTACGGTCTGCAGCAGCGCGCCGTGCAGGGCATGCTCGACTTCGACTACCTGTGCAAGCGTAAGACTCCCAGTGTGGCGGCTCTGATCTTCCCGTTCTCACCCAACCACTACCTCAAGTTCTACTGGGGCACTTCGGAGCGTCTGATCCCGGTGTTCCAGAAGCTGTCGGATGCCGTCAAGAAGTTCCCGGACGTGAGCGTGCTCATTAACTTCTCGTCGTTCCGATCCGTGTACCAGTCCACCATGGAGGGCTTTGAGCACAGCGACTCACTCAAGACACACGCTATCATTGCTGAGGGTGTGCCGGAGCAGCAGTCGCGTCTGATTTCGAAGAAGGCGCGTGAGCTGAACGTCGGTATCATTGGCCCTGCCACGGTCGGCGGCATCAAGCCTGGCTGCTTGCGTATCGGTAACACCGGTGGTATGCTGGACAACATTGTGCAGTCGAAGCTGTACCGCCCCGGTAGCGTGGCGTACGTGTCCAAGTCCGGTGGTATGTCAAACGAGCTGAATAACATCGTCTCGCAGACGACCGATGGTGTGTACGAGGGTGTTGCTATTGGCGGTGACAAGTACCCGGGATCCACGTTCATCCAGCACCTGCTGCGTTACGAAGCCAACCCGGATGTCAAGATGATGGTACTTCTGGGTGAAGTCGGCGGCACGGACGAGTTTGCTGTCTGCCGTGCCATCCAGTCGGGTGCCATCAAGAAGCCGGTGGTTGCCTGGTGCATTGGTACATGCGCTAAGATCTTCCCGTTCGAGGTACAGTTCGGCCACGCCGGTGCTTGCGCTACGGGTGAGTCGGAGACTGCGTCGGCGAAGAACGCGGCTCTGGCTGCTGCCGGTGCCATCGTCCCCGAGAACTTCGACCAGTTTGGCAACGCCATCCGCAAGCAGTTCGACTCGATGGTTGCGTCGGGTGTGATCGTGCCGCGTCCGGAGGTCCCGGTTCCGAAGGTGCCCATGGACTACGCGTGGGCCAAGAATCTGGGTCTAATTCGTAAGCCTGCCAACTTCATCTCGTCCATTTCCGATGACCGTGGTGAGGAGCTGCGTTACGCCGGTACTCCTATCTCGAAGGTCTTCGAGCAGGACATGGGCGTTGGAGGCGTCATCGGTCTGTTGTGGTTCAAGCGCAATCTGCCGGCCTACGCGTCCAAATTCATCGAGATGGTGCTCATGGTCACGGCTGACCACGGTCCGGCGGTGTCGGGTGCCCATAACACGATTGTTACTGCCCGTGCCGGCAAGGACCTGATCTCGTCGCTGATCTCGGGTCTCGTGACGATCGGACCCCGTTTCGGTGGTGCTCTGGACAAGGCTGCCGAGATGTTTGCGGGTGCGTTCGACTCGGGTGTTTCCGCGGCCGACTTCGTTGTGGACATGCGCCGTCAGAACAAGCTCATCATGGGTATTGGCCACCGTATCAAGTCGCTGTCGAACCCGGACAAGCGTGTGACCATCATCAAGGAGTTCGCCAAGGCCAACTTCCCGGCCACGGACGTGCTTGACTTTGCTCTGGAGGTGGAGCAGGTGACCACCAAGAAGCGTAGCAACCTGATTCTGAACGTCGACGGCTGCATTGCCGTCTGCTTCGTCGACTTGCTGCGTAATTGTGGCGTCTTCACGCTGGAGGAGGCCAACGAGCAGATCGCGGACGGCTGCCTCAACGGCCTGTTCGTGCTGGGCCGCAGCATTGGTTTCATCGGCCACTTCCTGGACCAGAAGCGTCTCAAGCAGCCGCTGTACCGTCACCCGTGGGATGACATCTCGTACCTGGACGAGGAGTTCTAGATGGACGGAGGTAAGAGCGAGTAGTAGATGCTAAGTAGTAAGCTTTGAAAAATGAGTCTCTTCATATCTACCTGGTGTCTTTTCCTTTCATTACGCGCTTGCAGCGATTGGAAGTGTGGCGACAGCAGCGTTGTTTTCTTCAGAAGAGTGCGAATGCAGTCGCTGGATGGCTTTCCGGATGCGCAGCCGGTGTGCGAACTTGGCGATTCCTACCTCGCTCATGGCCTGATCCACGTCGTCATCGCTTTCCAGCTGTGCCAAGTCCTCTACAGTCAAGAAGCCGTGCTCCTCCAGCTGCTTGGCATACACGCAGTATTCTTCCGACCGGGAGGTGTCGATCTCCGCGAGCCATTCACGCAGCGGACCGCCATCGTTGCTTCCATCGTCGTCCTGGAGATCCAGCAGAACACTTTCCACTCCCGTCTTCTCCGGGGAAATAGCATCAGCCTTTTCAGCAAACAAGCCATCCCCGCTTACCTGCCTCACAGCTTCTACGTCCAGTGTTTCGCTACTCTTGGAGTGTTTTCTGGTCTTTTTGGTCGATTCGAGAATCTGATCCAGCGCTTTCTCCGTGTCGGACGCCAGCGTTGAGAACACCTCCTGCTCCTTCTCGGGGCTTGCTCTCTTCCAATGCGGCGACGGATTACTCTTGGCTCGTGCACGCTCCTGCACCTTGCGCTGTTTCCAGCGGGACGGCCGCGGTTGCTGATCTGTGGTCACGGGCCCCCATCGCATGGTCGGCGTCTCCATCACACGTCGACGTAGCTCCATCATAGCCGCCTCTGAGAAACGCTCGTCCTCCGTCAGCAGCGCCTCCTTCTGCTCCTCGTTAAACTGCTGGCGGCGCTGCCGCAGACGACTGAAGCACGTGGTGAAGGCTGCCGCCACATTTGTTGCTGCCTCACTCGCCACTTCGCGTGGACTCAGTACGAACGGGAGACTCAGCGCCACCACCGTCTTGACTATCGCTCGCGCGCAGCCAGTAGGCGCGTCGTTCGCTGCGTCCATCGTAGCGAATCGGGCGTCCATGTTGTACTGCACTTGAGCTCTTGGAATGTGAGATCGAGTTGCGTCGGTTCAAGATCGGAAACAAGATCGAAGATTTTTGTGGAGGCAGAGACAGATGGCTACACCTTGTTTTGACAAAATCCGTATCAATTTTTTCTTTAAAACTGTGTATACTTCGAAGTAGTACTTAAGTACAGGTTAGCGTTACCTTTTCTCTTAAGCTTCGACAGATATGGCGCGACGTAATGAGGCCTTGACTGTGTTGTATTTGCAGCTGGTTGAAATCTTGATGTACTCTTTACCACTGTCGAGAACCACCGTGAGCCATTCCGGCACCAGTGACTCGAGCAGGTACAGCTGCTCCTCGATCTTGCCCTTGATCGGAGCTCGCACCGCGAGTCTGCGCACCACTTCCGCCTTGGGGAAAATGGACTTCTTAGTGACAATCACAAGCGACTGCAACTGGTCACTGAGCTGCGGCAGCGTGGCCAGCATCCGCTTCTTTAAGGCCTTCGCACTATTCTCTGCCACGTCCTTGCGGCTTACTTCCTGCTGCCGGACCTTGTTGATTAGCCACTCAGGTAAAGACTTTAAATCCTCTGGCACAGGCTTTGCAAGCGCCTGCTCCAGCTTTTCCTTAAGCTTGGTATCTGTCATGCCGTCCGTCTGGTCCTTGTTTTCTTTCCTTTCCAGTAACGCTGCGGGTCTATCCTCAGTCACTATATCCGACGGAATCTTTGGCAGTGGTGCCTTCTCGATCTCCACGAGTTTCAGAGCGTCTTTTAGCTCGTCGTCTGTAATGTCTGGGAACTCATTTTTAATGACTTGTACATGACCGTCCACGTAGGCGTTGACCTTGCTAAAGAACAGGGTTATACGAGCCTCGAGGCTCTCGCAGGTCTCATTGGGAGGGGGAAGCTGCTTGTTGCGAAGTGTGAGTACTGGCGGCTGCTGCTGGAGTCGCTGACGCTGCGCTTGAAGATAGTCGCCACCCTCCTCCTGCGCTTGGCGTCGAGCAGTTCGCGTGTTCTTCTTCCATTCGAGTGTGTAGGCACCAGGCAACAAGTACAGAATCTGCTGAAGATGTGTAGGTGTGAAGCTGAGCTGACACGAGCTCTCCACGGCGCGCTTAACAGCGGCGAAGTCAGGCGTGTGTTGATAGAGCGTCAAGGCACCGAGTCCAAATTCTAGCGCGGAGAACAGCCGAGCGAGAATGCGCAGAGAAGGCGGAGCGCGCTTATCGAGTCGTCGGGTCGAGCGCCGCACCTCCATTATACTATCGGTCATTTTTCTTTAATGACGGCGAAAACGTATGGCTTTCATAAAAAGCTTCAGGTAATACTACTGTAGTAGCAGTTTAAGGTACCCGCAAACAGCGTTTTCGTCTGTATGGATGGCATTGACTTCTGACCAAAAGAGCGTCCTCGAGGGGACTCGAACCCCCAATCCCCGCCTTCGGAGGGCGATGCCTTATCCATTAGGCCACGCGGACATGCTAACACATTGCTGGCCCATTTGTTTTAACGGAAGCTCGTAATCAACGATTTGAAATCACAAGCCAGGCTTTGACACGCGACACAAAAAAACGTAGTAGGTTGCGTCATCATTTCGAAGACAAAAAACATGTCCTGCATATACCCAGCCCGGTAGCAATTGTGTTGGCTGACCCAAATGGCAAAAACGATCTACCGTATTTCGCATGTAGACCGATACCGCTACTATTAATAGAGCGATACACCCGCCCAGCAGCGAAGACCTGAGATCCCAGGTCGAGCGATACACGACACTAAAATGAAATAGTGACTGTCAAATTTCAGAAATTTCACCGCAAGCGAATGGCTCGTGTCAAGCCAAAAGGAAGACCCCGACGGGGAGGACGTGGCCGCCACGTACAGCAATACAAGCCCAATACTGAATCAGTTGACAAGAATCTCGCGGTTCTAGTGATGTTAAAGACGACGGAAGCTATGCGAGCCACATTTCTCATTTCTATCCTAATCTATCCGCCGCATCGTACAAAAGCAAGCGTGTCCAAATTCTCCGATGGAGACGCGAGCAACCCAAGTTGGAGGATGCAGCTAGAGCTCACAAGGGAGAGCACAGGAAGATTCGAGGGGTAGGTACAGCTACTATATTTTCTAAGGACACTGAGATAAATATAGTAGTGTGGATAAATGAGCTCCGGGGTGAGGGAGCTCCAGACTCTACGAAAATGGTGACAATCAAGGCCCAAGAGGTCGCAAAGGTCGCCAACCTCAACGATTTTGCAGTATCCGACAAATGAGTAAAAGGTTTTAAAAGACACCATCGGCTTAGCCTGCGGGCTCCCACACGCCAAGGCCAGCTCAGTCCGCCTGATCTTGCAGCTATTGCAGCCGAGTTTTCGGCTCTACAATGCAAGACCTTGGAATCAAGAGGGTTTACAACGCTGATCAAACCAGTAATTATGTTTTTACTCCTAATTTGTTTTATGCTGATTTAACGATTGATTCAGCCGTGTTTTTTTAGTATGTAGCTAAAAAGACAATCAGCAGACATGGTGAGAAGACTGTGTGGGTACGATGCAGCGGGACATCGAAAGAATGCGTCACCACAATGCTACTCGGTGATAGCGATGATAACAAGTACGCGCCGTTTGTCATTATGAAAGCTAAACCCTCAAAAATCGAAGAAACCCAAGCAGAAAATATTGGAAATAGGAATGGGTTCGTTATTCGTGGTTGGGCCGACGTCAAGGTGATTAAAGCAAGACACAATTTGTTTATTCATGGTAACAGCAAAGGTATGGTTTTAAAAATGATTCCTACTCTCGCTACTAGAAGGGCAACCGGTAGATGAAAGTGATGACTTCGCCGTTCAGAACATCAGCGAAGAGGCAACTGTCTAAAAATAGGGATTTTGTTTCTTCAGCTTTTAACATCATTTTTGAAGGGAAACCATATTCCTCATAACATGGGGTGTATCGGTCTACATGCGAAATACGGTACTGTAAAACCAGAGTTATTAGTAATACCCACCCCAAAAGGGGGGGGGGTACTATTAGAGGGGGGGAGTCTATCAAAGGGTGGGGTACTAGCGAACATAAAAGTGTGGTGTTAATCGTTGGTTATTGTCTGTTTCTCGTTAATCATTGTCTAAGGTGAAATCATGATCAATTTAGGGTAAGGTATAACAACGAATCGACAATTCTTCATTCCTAACAAGATCATGATCTGAAGAGTCGCAAAATCTGCCTCCATTACTATCATTACCGTCGTTGAGTAGGAATCGCAGCGCGTAGGAGGGTGGATGCGCCAGAAACCAGTGAATCGCAACAAGAAAGCAGTGAGCCAAGAATTAGTGGGAACTGGACAGCCGTCTAGAAGCATGGGTGCAAGCGGACCCCCCCTTCTCTCGCCGTCATCGGATGACTACAGTACCTGGACAGTAGATCCGCTGAAGCTAGAGTGTACTTCACGCAAACTATCTGTTGCGAAGAATACGAACTAGGCTGCTAGAGTGGCTATTTTGCAAGGCTACGACGAGTTTCAAACAGCCATGGAGTTGCTTCTCGAGAATCAGCGCTTTAGCAAACGTGGTCGCGACACCGGAGGGGACACAACAGAGCGGCGCTCGCGGCATTGTTTGTTTTGGCTACTAAACGTCCTCTTCTCTGAGACTGTGTTTGAACGTTTTATCACTTCAGGTGACACACTAACACGACGCGAACTCGTGGGAGGAGTTCGGCGGCTTTGGGGAAGAGGTTGCCAGAAGCCCTTCAATACAAGCAATGGTGATTTTTACCGTTTTGTCTCTGATGGTACACTGTTCGATGGCATCGAACCATAATTGATCACTACTCATTCTGGGGCTAAATTAAAAAGTATGTGGAAAGAGTGTAATGCACGTCTCTCAGCGGCCGAAGAAAGGTGCAAATTATCCAGATCACACGACGAATTCTGGAACTTCTGTCAGGGCGATGAAGTAGCCATGTACGTTCATCTCTGGTGTGAGCAGCGTGGGTGTGGCCGCGAGCTCTGCTCAACACGCATTTATGGATATAACGAAGACGATGAATCAAAAGAGATACAATTAGCCAACAAGAAACAAAAAGTAAATAGGAAACGCTCCAAAGCCCAAGAAGAACGTATAAACAGTGCCACTTCTGTTGCTATTCTAACCGAAGCCTTTGTAAAATTGGTGGACACTGAAGTTTCAAGTATAAAGGGTGGGTTAATCGAGGAGAAAATCGCAGTCGCCCGTCTAAAGCGCGAAAAAATGGAGCGGGATGTCATAGTGGAAAAATTGGCTACAGTAGATAGTATTCTTGCTCGACGTCGTCAGGCTCTATCCATCCTGGTTATACAGATCCATGATAAATTATCCAAAGAGATGGATGCCACGGATCTTAGGCGGGAGCGTGAAGTCGCCATTCAACGCGTTCAGACAGCTCAAGCTAAATCGGACGACCTTCAAGGTCAAATTATGGCTGCTAAGCTATCAGCTGCGGCTCGTACGCATAGCGATAGGTCGGTACATGTTGTACCGCTGAATATGACCGAGAACAACTTTGTGAAGTATATGACCATTCACGACAGGCGGCTCACAGTCGTTTGTGTCTTCACGTACAGCGGGTAAAAAGCTGCAGTCTTCCATTGCATTGAAATCTCTTATTGTTGCATTGTTTAATCCGCCGCTGTTAGGCTGACCAATGCGTGCATTGATGCAGTAGTTACGCAGCTTCTTGCAGGTTTTAATGACAAGCCCTGCATGAGTGTAGTCAAAAAGCTAAGGGACACTTAAAAATTTGTCACTTGTTAACAAGAAGACCAAAAGCCATTTCTACTCGTATGCGTAGCTGAGAAAGATAAAAATTGTAGTCAGAATATTCACTCAATTTTATTTCAGGTTTTGTGAAAGGCACCAGTAGCGTTGACGACAACGGATATGCGTTATCTTCAATGGCATAATATTCAAAAGGCAGACTAGCTGTAGCTAGGTACAAGGGTCACTTCTTAAAGGCAACGCTATCAGAGACCTTTCCAGATGAATTGAAGCAAAAACCAGTGAGCCTGCATGCTGAATCATACATCGCCTGAACATTGAACCCGTGGCGGAGATAGTGTCCCGAAAAGAAGGCAGAAACGTCAGGTACTTCTCGAGTACTTGGGGCTTTTATAGTACACAACCATCCGTCCACGCATCCAACACCCCCCGCTAAAATATTGTTTTTACTGATATCGGCAAAATCTGACGACACGCTGAATGGAAGTAGAGTCGTATACAGGGGCGACTATTTGATATCGCGGATGGCTTCCATAACTTCGATAATAGAAGCGTAAAACTCGGACTTGCTTACACTTGCAAGAGCCCTTATAGAATGATAAGAGCCTCCGGTGTAGGATAATGCGTCCTAAGACACGTCCTAAACTGTCCTATTTGTCCTAAATTTTACAGGGAGATTTCGGAGATGTGTCCTAAAAAGCGACTAATCCTTCGTTACAGAATAATATAATTTGTGTCCTCCAGATTGTCCTAAACCTCAAATAATAACTTTTTCCGGACTATCTACGTAAATTTACGTAAGAGTTACTTAAAAGTCACATTGGCTTTACTTATTGTCCTGGGGCACACCAACCATTTCTGAATCTCCACTACTGCAGCTAAGCATCATGGACCATTGCGGCTACTCCTTCTGCAGCTAGCGCGCTCGCCTATCTGGCCTCTGCTACCACCTGCGGAAGCAGTGTCTTGTCCGCTCTGCTCACGAGCGCGAACATTCAACAGTGCGGCACGGACCACTGAGATCCCGGACCAGGCCACCATTGACAAGATGTGCGCCTCGACTGCCTGCAACACCCTGCTCGCTGACGTGAAGGCCATGAACCTGGAGGAGTGCCAACTGTCGGTCGGTGTCGGCTCCAACCTGAAGGCCGACCTGGTAGTCTACGTGCCGTCCAACTGCCCATCGACGTCGGCTCCCAGCCCGGACTCGCCTGCCACAAACGCACCTGTTGTCGACACCATGACGACGCCAGACAACTCGACGAACCAGGCCGAGCACACTGCCGCGCTAACCAAGACCCCCATCGCTTGCTAACCGCGTCTTCGGATCGACTTGCAGCCAAGTAGGCCTTGCGAGTACTTTGCTGCTTTTTGAGCCCCCCCCTATGTCGTCACGTTCTGATTATTAACCGTCGTTTGCTATGTGCATGTTGAGGTCGCTCAACCGTTATTAGCGGCTATTATTACCTTCAATGACTATCATCCTTTGAAACACTTTAAAAATATTGTCACACACTTTGTAGTAGAGAAGTTTGGTTGAGGTGTTTTCGCGCACAACAAAGAATCGGCTGCTCTTGGAGAGAGGGGCTTTAAGATGTTTATTGTTTCTAGCTAGGCCAGTTGAGGATATGGCTTGAGGACAGTGCATGTTGGGCTTGGTGTTGTCCTAATAGGACAGTGGTCTGAGTTGCAGTCTGTCCTAATAGGACAGACTGAGTGTCCAGCTGT